GACTGTAACATTAAGAGGGTGTTTCTCGTCCACATTAGTCTCAACGAGATCAAACCCAGCCCACGGTTATGCGTTGTACCTACGCACGGGTTCACCGGAGTTCTCGAGTAAGCTCATAACTGGAGAACCTGTAAAGCTAAAGACTGTAGTTTTAGGAGAATGTTCTCCGTCCAAGTAAGTCTCAACGAGCTCAAACCCAGACATCGGGTATACGCGGTACCCGAGTGCGGGGTCGTGAAAAATTTTTTCCAGCAAATTGCTAACTCAAAAGCCAAGAAAGCTAGAGAACTGAAATTTTAAGGGGGTGTTTCGTCCCAGTTTTGGCGACCAGTCTTAATTTGTTTAGCTAGGAGGATTTGCCAAAAAACCGATGCCGGTAGCAACAAAAGCTGTGGGGAACTATGCAAAAAACGCATCTTCGCACGGGCAGCCCGTGCGTTGGCCAATTATTTTTGCTCTGTTCTTGACCGATTTATATTGACTCCAGCGGTAGCTAGAATCATTTCATAATGGGGATTGAATTGTCAGGAGCATCTCTTTAAACTTCAATAATAACATTCCATATAGATTCATAGCTGTCCATCCTTTCATGTGAACAAAGATGTTTTCAGATGTTGCTGTTGCCGAGGAAGCATTTGCGGATGAAGTAGCGATTAAGCCTGAAAAACCTCGTAATGAGTTGAAAAAACAAGTATTTTTCTTTATCACTCAGCATGTTAAATGAATACTAGTACAAAAAAGACAGTTCAGATAAGATATCAACAGAAATCCATGTGCCAGCATAGCAAAGACACAGCTGAAGCAAAAAGTTTTCCAGGTTCATGCATATCTCTTTGGAGGTAGGCGGCGGGTCAGCGGAGAAGCATGAGCTGATGCGAGCTTTACTAAGTTCCATCGTTTTTTAAGCGTCATGTATGGTTTTTTCGGGAGTTAAACTGCCCAGCACATTTAAGGTAACAACGCACAAACTAGATGCATAATAAAGCACGGACAGGAAAGATAAGGAGCACGGAAGTGTATCAGTAAAGCAGAAATTCCGTATTGTTATATTTGGTGTTACCGTATTCTTAATAAATTGCCGAAATTCTCCCGTGCTGCCAGGGACACTGTACATATCTGCCGCCCTGGAGCGCTCTTTTAAAAAACAAAATTATCCAAAAGCTCTGCGATAGTCTACTGTAAACACCCAGGAGTTAGTCGATGAGTGCTAGAAAACTCTGAATAAGTCCGCGAAATCTGAAAAGACGATGAGGGAAGAAAGCATGTTTATATTACACTTTGGTTTTTCTTGTAAAACTAAATTGTAGGTAAATGTGATGTCCGTGGTGTTGAGTGATCTGAATGTGATTGCATCAACATTGAATAATTTGGGACAAGGAGCGGGTTATATTACAAAGTAAGTCTTTTTTTTTTTTAAATTTCAATTTTACTTCTGCTCCTTGCTTACCTTTTTTTGTTCTCTTCCCTTGCCCATCCCCTTTCCCCTGCCCTACACACCCCGTTGGAGGACGTAATGATATAAAGCAAAATTTGCTGTTATCAGGTCTTGTCTTCATCCACACATTTGACCGATTCTTGTAGTCTTATCCGTTAGTTTCGCAGTTCATTCACCCGCTGAGAACAGGCATAAACCGGGAACTGATTCCCATTGTGGATATTTAATGATTCGACTGGGTGTGTTTCTGGATTGTTTATGCCAAGTTCTTTTTTTTTTTTTTTGTTTGCAGTGTGCTGTCTTGCATTTCCCTTAGAGCGCAGAGTTCGAAGCAGTTGTTTTTGATTTATGTGTATGTTCTGCGAATTGCAGGATTAGCGTTCAGCAGTCACTGAAGAAAATTTTGAATGATCTCTATTCCGAATTAAATAGTCAAGCAAGTCATGCTATCGTTGAAAAAGTTCTTCCAAGCGACAAAACGACTGTGAACTTCCAATTCTGGTCACCTGCTGATGGGCCTCCCACAGTCAAAGTTTGTCTGTTTTTTAATCTTGCCAGTCCTTTTATTAGACCAATTTTTTACTCGTTTTTATGCGTTTTTGCATAAATGCAAGTGCAGAAACGCATATTGGCAGGAGGCTGTCTGTGTCCTATATTCGCACCTTTTGTCACTCATTTTCAACTCGAGAACCAGAAAAGAGTATGTGCCCATACCATGTGCGACCCTCCTTCTTTAATATCATCACCCGCGTACGCCTGTATTCCACGTACGGTCGACATAAAAAATATGCAAATTTTTGGCGGGAAAACGATCTCGAGAACCAGAAAAGGTAGAGAGCTGGAACTTTGCAGGGATATTCTTTGTGCATGCATGAGCTAAAGATTTCAAATTCAGCTCCCAGACGCTCGCGGTCTTCACGTACAAATACATTAAAGATTTGGTGGAAAAATTGCTAACTCAGTAAACAGAAAAGCCGGAAGGCTAAAATTTTAAGGAGATGCCCTCTGTTCACGTACAATTTAAAGATTGAAAATTCAGCCATCGAGTACGCGTGGTACTCACATAAGGGCACGCGGGATTTTTGACGGGAAAACTGCTAAGTCGGAAACCAGAAAGGCTGGAAAGCTGAAAATCTAGGGTAATATTCCTTGTCCAAATACAACTTAAAAATTTCAAATTTAGCCTCCAGGTATGCATGGTTCTCGTGTACGGGGACTTGAATTTTTTTGGCAGGAAAATTGCGCATTGAAAAGCTAGATCGTTTTCAAGGAACGACCGCTAAACAGAAATTGTCCGTTTTCCTTTATTCAAAATCTGCGATAATTTATGGTAGTGAGCGCACAAGGTAGATGTGAAGCAACAACTATTCGTGACGTTAACAACTTATTGAAGTTTGGTACAGTACGCTTAATCGCACCGGCAAGCTTGGTGCGTTCCAGCCTGGGTTGCGCCATGGATAACTCACTGGGGAAAGAATATGTCTTAATTTGTGTTCACTGTTGGTGCGTGTGTTTTTCTCTTTCTGCATAAGTTTGTTTAACCACATACTTTTATTGTGAAACTACGAAAACTAGAAAGCTGAAATTTCGGGTACGAAACGTTCGGCCGTTTGAAAAGTTAAAAGGCCAGAAGTCAACCTACATTAATCTTCTTTTTCTGTCCTGTTTCAGCTTCAAATTTGAGCCGGTTTTATTTTCTGAAGACGAAGGCACGAACTCGAGGTTTTTAGGATTTAATGTATCCCTTAATGTGAATAAGGGATACATTAAATCCTAAAAATCTCTAGTCCGTGGGTCATCCCATTCGAACTTGTGATTTCATTCCCCAAAATTGTGGCTAATTCTAAAAAGTCGAGGTGAAGTGAGCTATTTTGAGCTTATATTTAACAGCGCAACGGCGTATGAATTCCTGGAAGTCAGCTTTTCAAACTTATTGCTGTTGGCTTTGTGGTCTTTTGTCCAGTTTTTGGCAAATTTTGCAATTTGAAGTCGAGACGAGCTACAAACCCGAAGTTTTTTAGTTCAGTTTAAAAATAATAACTGAATGATCGAAAAATTGATTTTAAGTCTGCCTATGCTCTTATCCATGTTCTAACGTTCAAATACAGACTAAGATTGTGCTTCTAAAACAAAGCGATTCATGACTCTTAAGACTATGAATTTTGGTAGTTTTAATGTGATAAATTAGGAGAAATCATCGTATAAGTTAAACATTATGTTTTATAATTTATAGCGTTCATCCATTGTGAATCTGAAACAGCCTGGTGTAAAAAACTTTTAGTGACACTGATGTCTCAGTACGTCCCTATATTGCTTAGAAGCTTTTTGAGTTTTTTCCGATTTTATCGTGTCAAATTCAGGCTCACATCGATGGGTTGCGGGCTACATTGGATGACTTCATTGTTTCACATCTTTCTTGCTTTGTGAATGATGATGAGAAAAGCGCCGTTCCATTGAATTTGGAAATTAGTTTAGCCAACACACAAATTACAATCAAAGTAAGTTGCCTTATGCTGTCGTTGCTTATCCATGCATTTTTGACCTATCAAAGTAATTTCTTTTGTGCAAACCATCGCTCAGTTTAGTTGTCGATTTTATCATGACGAATTCTTGCCTGTGCTTCTAGGATCCGTCAGTGAAACCATTTCGAATCAGATTGAACGACTGTGTTATTGAGCAGACTGTGGACGACGAAGAGGAGAGTTAATGGCCAGCTGGCAAATCAATGAATTTTCGTTTTTACAAACTATTTGCATATTGTCCAAATCTGCCTATACAAACGCTTCTGTTTCTACACATTCATACCTCCACTGAAATAAACACATGATAAGTTTCTCACAAATCCCTGACTGGTTTTCACATTGCATGCATCCAAGATGCTGTTTGTTTCGGTGTTTTAATTTCGGCGTTGTTCTACTTATTATTTTTTATACTTTGATCAGCGGTGGTTTTGTCGTTGTACGCTTTCACATGATTAATGCAGCTTAGCAATCTTTTTATTTTCTTTTTTTTTTTTTCACGCACCACTGTTGCACTTCCGAGTTGATCTGTTTCATCGTTTAAATTTATGGGTTTGTATAAATGTGGATACAAAGTGGTTAGGAATTCTATGGACCTTGCATACAAAGTGCAAGAAAAACTCTCAGATATTTACAGAAACATCGTTTGAGATATGCAGTGCTGCTTTGAGTCTGAGCCACATTCAGTCAGTCAGCTTGCTTGGACATTCCATTGAAGAGGGGGGAGGGG